TAACCTCTCTCCTCTCATCTCTCTCTCTCTCTCTCCCCCTCCTACTCCCTCTAGCCGAGCATCGTCTCAAGTACCGTCAAACACCGGAAACAAGACAAGACATCTCCCCCCTCCGGAAACTTGTTTCCTTTTGCCATTGACAGACACCCTGCCCAAACCTTGCTTGCCCATTCATCTTTAGTTTTTGGTGGGCGGAGGGGAAAAAAAAACTAGCTCGCATGTCACAGCCGGCTCGCCCGCGAGCACATGTGCGGACGGAGTACGATGGTATCCGGCCGAAGTTTATGACCCCTGTTAGGTAACTAACGCTCACCCCCCTACTACAGGACTTCACTTTTGGTGAATATTCCTCCCCTATCATGATATCAGCTGTGGGGGGTAACATCATAGGGGTCATTAACTTGCCCCTGCCACCCCGTATGTTTTAGTCAGGCCATCTGATTTGTTCCGTTACCTTACGAGCACGTCAGGCACTTTGGCCAATGGGACACCGTCGCAGGGTTCCAACGTTGTCGATACGGATGGCTACTTGACTAGGTATCTCAACTCCAGACGATGGGTTGGAGAGGAGGAGATGGAGGGGGAGGGGTGGTGGCGCTGCTCCCCTCCCCCTAGTGAAAGTACATATACTGTACGGATACACATCGCAGTACATGTCACTGCGTAGCCACATCTCTCTCTGCAGCATCCTCGTACACGCACACACACACACACACAATGGAGGTAAAACGAGCCGAATGTTGAAACTTGAAACAGGTGATTGACGGCCAATCGCCTCGTCATCATCTCATCAGTTGGTGCCCCATTCCCCACTCCCCACGGCCATTAACGGGGCATTTGGAGCGGTTCTTCTTGATCATCAATCCCGTGGTTATGGCTTCGATGATCGTCTTTTTTCCACAACCCCTCGAATCCTCCCGCCCCCCCGGCTTCGTGCGGCGCTCTCTAATCATTGCCTAAATCTTGCTATGGGAAGGGAGGGTTTTATGTGGCGTCTCGTTTGCCCTCCCACAACCGCGGATTTCTTTATCTCGATGGCGCTCCTTTTTCCTGGCCGGTGATCATCACCATTCGTGTGCGTGTGTGTGTGTGTTTCCCCCTCTTCTCGAGGAAAGAAAATACGATGAAAGGTCTATTTCCATACGAGACAGGACGGACTAGGGGAGGGGAATACCCTCCGGTAATCACATAGCAGTGACAACTATGTCTCTCCCTTGCCTCGCAGGCTTGACATTGTCTCTCACGCATGGGGGGGAGGGTGCTCGCAAACAGGTGACCCGTGATCCTTCGGTGCCCTGGTCCCAAAGTGCTGATGATTTGATACGACCTGACCTTTGCCCGAAAGAGGTGTGCCCGAAACCCGCTGCCGCCTACTAGCGTGGGCGGACGGAGCGAGGTGCAAGAGAGAGAGAGAGAGAGAGAGAAGGATGCGCAGTCATCTCAGCCTCTTTAGGATTGGCGTGCTGCGGATGGGGCGAGCAGGGTCGTGAACGCCACGGAATCACTAGAGATGCGCCAACAGCAGGGGCGCTTTGCTTTTTCTTCTTCTTTTTCTTCCTTTACCTTCTTGATTGGGAGAGTCCACGTTCAGTCGGCCCGGGTTCCTGACGGCGGGGGGTTAGGAAATGCGGACAAAACAGGCAAGCCCATCATATATCTGCAAGTTTCGATATAAATTGTCGTGAACGCACGAGAGGTACTTTTTTTTCTTCTTTTCTCTCTCTCTCTCTCTCTGTCTCTCTCTCTCCCCCCTCCCCCCTCCCCCAACTGAGAGGAAAGGGAGGGAACCAGAGCTGGGTAGGGTCCAGGAGATGGGGTCGTCGGCAGCAGCCGCGGGTTCGCATGACAAGCGCAGAGGGGGAGGAGGAGGTGTGCAATCCGCCGTCCGGTCTGCATAGGTATCATATGCCAATGGGAGGTTTTTCCAAGCCGACAACCCAGCCCGAGCATCGCGTGTTCTGCAGCAGCATGCAGCGTACCTTGATTTAGGGTGCCCAGTAATCATGCAATGCTCCCTTTGTTTCCAACTTTGGCCTTTGCGCTTGAAAAATGGATGGCTTTGCAGAACGTTTTCACGCTACCTTAAACCTTAACCCCCCTGCTCTCGTCTCAAGACCTCGTTGAGCGTGCGTTTCCCCGAGAAGCGCCAAAGTAAGGCGTATTTTTCGGTCTTTCATGCCGCTCTATCGGAACGCCATCCAGAGTCTTCCAGCACTTATACAAAAAAACTCACGTATTCGAGGTATTATCTTGGTGCCCTTTTCCCATCCCGCCCCGGCTGCGCCTTGGTTACGGCTGTCATCCCTGACAGGAAAGCTCTGGTCCGGCCTCGACCCCGGTGCCCCGATTGGGCCGCATACGCCATCATCACGATTGCGCTCCAGAGGGCCCAAGCCGGCTGGCGACTTCGTGACGGCTCAGCTGATGTCTTCACCCCCTCCTTCCACCCTCCCACCATCTCCCTCTGGGGGACCCGTGATGGCTTCCCAATGGCTTTCCCAGAGAAGTTCCAATAGGTCGTTCCAACTAGGCCCCGGGACCCGCGTCCAGGGGCTAAGTCACGGCACGGAAACCTGCATCTCGATGACAACTAGCTCTGCGCCCGTGGGACGACAAACCTCCTTCAAGAATCCAGGGGGGGAGAAGAGCTTCCTAAGCTCGTTATCTTCGATCGCGATCGTGTATTCATTGAACACGACTAGGTCCTAATCTTGAATCATAATCACGTACGCATGAGAACACGGCTGGGTCCTGCCCGGAGGAAACCAGCTTCTGCCACTATCGACACCACGAAAGGCCGTTCACGATAACTATTGGAGGTGCCAACGCCGGGCCAAGTCTGCCGGACCCGTTTCACCGCCCACACCCTCTTCTCGGACCGAGCCCCAGCATTCCGACACCCCCATCTCTCTCTCTCTCGCTTGCATCGACAGAGATATCTCCTCCCTGAGCATATCTCAAGAGATTTCAACCTCGCTTGCGCCCAAGCGCACGCTATTTGTGGTGTTTGCGCCCGACGGTCTCGTGCAAAGGCAATCCCGCTCGCGGCTCTTGTGTCCTAAAACCTTATCATCTGACAGGAAGCAGCTGATGGTGTAGGTGAAAGAGGTGAGGTAAGGGGGGGCACGGCAGAATGCACCACGCTACATGTGTTATCGGAACTATTTGTGTGGTGCCTCCATGCTTTCGACACAAACACTTCTCCAGCGGGATCCCGGGCTCACTCGTGATCGATTCGCTCCTCCGAATCCCACCGAGGCTGCGCGGCGCACGCTTCGCCAAGGTACAGCCTCGTGTCGGCATCCCACGCGACGAACCGCTGGCGTCGACGTCGGTCCGGTCAGGGCCTGGTCAGCCCAGGCGCGGCCCTGCGCCACGAAGCCTCGCGCCAGCCAATTACGTCCTGATCGTCGCTTCTTCCGTTCCCAGAATAATTACTACTTTGCTAACCCGAATGGCTATCGAACATGAACAGGTTCCGTCCACACCGGCAGTTCCCAAAGCCCCCACGTCTGTTGGACCGAAGACCGGCTCATGTACAATACACAGCGACGTACGCCCTCACACAAGTCCATCTGGAACTGTGCTGCCCAAATTGGATCAAGGAGGCCATCAGGTCCGGTCTGCTGGGCCTATTTGTATATTTAATTTTTAAATTCTTTTTTCTCGTGCTGGTGAGGGTGACGGCATTGCCGTCGATCCCGATCGACACTTCTTGGGCCACCCCGCGACACCCCGTCACGCCTTGCGACCACCTCCTGAAATGATGATGAATCCTTCCCGTGGCACTTTGCCACTAGGCTTGCTGGCCAGTCTGCCGTGCTTCTTCTTGATTTGCCAGTGCGCGTTGATCGACAGATGCATATGGAGGGGCGTTGGAACAAAAAACGGTCGCTTCACCTCAGTCGATCAATGGTGACCAGGATGGACCGTTGACTTGGCTGGCCAGTATTTCGGTCGAGTAAACGGCAATCTGATCGCGATGCCTCGCGTAGTCGTCGTCAGATCGAAACCGGCACTCTCGATTGCCAGATCAGGCAGGGCGAGCATTGTCTTGTGTATTGAAGATGCAGTCACTGGATGATATGCCGAAGAACGTTTGATGATTCAGATGTGTTAGCCCTGAACAAGCTTGTGGATGACAGCGGCAAGGAGATTGCTTTGCTTTGATTTCAACATTGAGGGAGCTGCCAGCCTTTGTCTGGAATTTCTGCCCGCGTGGAGGCGCGTTGCGAGTCTGCCCTTTGAGTCAAGGGACCCCCTTCCGAGGGAGTCATCAAGTGAACTTCTAAGAGCATCAGGTCCCTCTCGACCATCAACATCGTCCAAATACTCGAGCCCCGACGAATGTGTTCTGCAGGCTCCCTTCAAGACAATCCGTTTTAGCCTCTTGGGGGGGGGGGGGGGGGGTCGCGTCAAGGCCAACCCCAGATCGACCGCTTCAATGCGTCATCCCGTGCCATAAGCGCCCAAGAAAGCCCGCTCTCATGTTGTGCGTCCCTAAAACAACGGCCGCTATGCCACCTCGCTTCTTCCGGGAAATGGGTCGCCCGTCCACGCCTTCCCCATGGCAGCCACAGCCGTCTTGTGAGACCTGCCAGATAATGATTGACGACGGGCTCGAAAATGACGTCGAAAGGCAACGGGCAGTCTTGAACCCTTGGTGGCTTGAAGGGATTGGGTCCACGACGTGGCTTCTAGTTGTGCGCATTGATCCATGTCCGGGCGCTCCCCAGATTGAGATGTGCACATTCTTGCGTCAGCCGTCCTGCCCCAACGAGTCGCTTGCCTTGGTCGCGGTCGCGTCCGCGTATGCCGAGAGTCTTGGGATGCGTGGCAGCCATGACAAGCGCGACCGCGGTGGAAGGATAACAACCACATACGTGTTCCTTTATGCCATCTCGATGCTCGCCCGCCGTGCACCAAACAGCTCCAAGACGGAATACTCAAGGTCGTCATGAATTGCTCCATCGAGATGCAAGGCGCGAATGCAGTGGCCTCTACTCGCCGATAATGCCGTCGTGCTCGCCCTTGAGTCGCTGGACGCGCTTCTGCTCCCAGTTGTCGATGTCCTTGGCCGCAAGTCGCTGATATTGGTCTGTCAGTATCGCTTCTTCCACCGTCCCTCGTCTTGCAAAGCTGCTGTGAGGCGCGGCTTCATATCACTCACGTAGTATTCCTCCTTCATGTCGACCTTGCGCGCCGACCGACGAAGGTTCAGCTCTTCGTCCTTGGTTACCTGCCGCACCCGTCTGTCATGCTTCTCGTAGCGGATGGCCGTGGCCGGGGTCAAGACGAAGGAGCCTGCTATCATGACGGCGACAAAGGGCAGGCCGAACATCAGGAACGGCCGCTTGGCCATTTGAGCCCGGTACTTGGCGGCGAAGGTATTGGTGTCCGCCTTGGACGGAAACTTCTTGTTGCTGAAGACGGCCATGGCAGGCGGCTTCTGTCAGCAGTTGATGGCAACAAGGTCAAACGATGCCGGAGGCTGGTCGGCTGTCGCGCCGTGATCTGGTGTCTGGCACTCGGACTTGTCGACAGTCAGACGCGGTGCCTTTCTCGTCGGTGGATCTTATGGGGTTCGTTAATGGCCTGACCTCGTTAGTCTGTGGCAGCTGTGAAGCACCAAATGAGTGGTCTGATCTCTGATCTTGGGAGATGGATGGATGATGCAGAAAACCCTAAGAGCGCGCTGACAGTTTCTCCGGGTCTCGTCGTAGTTTAGGAAACTTTGAGCTTGGGCCCAATAAAGACCACCACCTCACCTCAGCTTGGAGGCGGTACGTACATTGACCAGGTAGCTTCCGTGCACATGCGTCTCCACACAGTGCGTATAATAGAGTCTGTCGTCACCACCTGTACCAATTCGCATTATGTAAGCACCTCAGAAGCCTCCCCTCCCTCATGATGCCTATCTACTTACTCACTGTGTCTTATTAACATTCATCAATGCACTTTTCTTATGCAACGCCTTGTGTCCCCTCACCTGAACTGCGTGGCCTCGGCCGCCGCCCTGGGGCGTAGTGGCGGTCCGCGTCGGTCCACACGTACTGGAAAGTGAGGTAAGGCGCGTTTCGCTTACAACGGACCTAGTCTACCTAGCCACCCTCCTATCCGGGACTCCCTCCCGGCCCGCGAGAGTATGTTTTCTCGTGACTCCATCGCTCTGTCCAGCCCAAACTCATGAGACCATCGAATCACGACTTGCCGATTAGCGACTTTGATTCGACACCTCGACAGCCTCCGTGGGACCTTGGCGAATGGTCTCGACCGTGGCCCCATCCCGCATTAATCGTCTCAGAGGAGAGGGTTCCTGGTTCTCCATCGCCTTCAAGCTGGCTTCTCTCCTCCGCGGGTTCGCCAAGAGACAGCTACCGCAAATGGCATACGGCCTTTACTTTGCGTACGTGAGGACGCCCCCCAAAGCGAGAGAGAAAGAGAGAGAGAGAGACGCACACGTACACACTCCACAGCCACTCCTCCGTCTGTACTTTGTGCTGCTTTTTCGTTCTCATCTGACACGCTGAACAAATGCCCTTCGCCCCCAATTCCCACTTAGCTTCCCTCAGCCATGTTCCCCGCAAAGCCTCCCAAGCGATGGCACGTCTCGTGTGTCTGCGGCCCAATCTCGCCCGTGCTAAATGTTTTTTCATCCCCTCCAGCCGCCATTGTGATGCCGCGCGAGACTGAGTTGCTACCCGTTACAGCGAGCAAGCTCCGCCGACTACCACCAACGCAATCATGCGCCATCTCGCTCAGACTGAAGCCCATCTGCGCCTGGTAAGCGCCAGGGGCACACAATAGCGGTAAAGGGGCCAGCAGGGGGAGTAGGAGGAAGGGCAAGGGGCTTGATGGGTTTCCTTCTCCCGGGAAGCTGGAAACCGTGCTGGATAAGCACTGACCACCCATACACACACACACACACACTTAAGAAACTTGGGCCCAATCCCAAGCACTGTGTAGCATCCATCTACCTTGTGCGACACATGGGACTCCAATGGCAAGCTTGCAGAGCTTCCCACACTAACAAGTGCCGACCGGGTTCTATTCCCCGTCTCTGCCTTGCGGGACACACTGAAGACCATCTCATCGGATGGGCCTTTTAGGCTTGGGCCTGGTTTCTTGTCGGGCAACAAGCCGACAAGGGAGATGCTGAAAGGGGTAGACCTGGACAGGTGTCACGGCCTCCGAGGCTTGTTTCGTTTCGTTGAGGCGGACTACGCAAAGCGAGCCAAGTGGCAGTCGCCTGCTACTGCTGCTGCCGCAAAGAAACTTGCCGGACTATCCAAGAGCGTGTTTATTAATGGATCCTTCTCCAGTCTCGGCGTCTGGGCGGTCGTGGCGTTGAGACGAAGGCCTATGGTATAAGTTTATCCCCAGTCCTGCCGTCTTTCATTCCAAGTCTTCGTAGCGACTTGGCATTCTTTGACATTCTGCGAACATCAAAAAACATCTACTCATTTCCATCCATTGCCCTCCCCCCCCCCCCCCCCTTTCCCAGGCTGGTCCATCCCTCCCAAGTTCAAGACCAACTCCGCCTGCTTGTCTTGCCTTCATCGTCTATACCCCTAGCTGAAATCTTTCTTGGTCTGAATCCAATTCACCTACACCTCACCTGTCATAATGGGTTATTACTGCTCAAACTACTACGTATGCCTCTCTTATCATGCACCTTTGTCTGGCCTGTAGCTCACGTGATTATCACAACAGGGCTCGATCCACTGCCACAACACCGTCTCCCGCTTCGGCGACAGATGCCATCTCTGCGCGGTAGGCGCTCTTCAACCGTGAATGCATCCATCGTCATCTGACATTCTGTCGTACCAGGCATCAAAAAGAGGCGCGTCCATCAAGGAGGGTCTCCTCTCGGAAGCCGAGCGATGGGGATCGACTACGCCCCGGTCCACCCTTGGCGATCGCCGGGCCGAGCGGAATAGCCGGCCGATCCGGGATTCGAGAGTGAAGAACTAGGAACACGAAACCCATGATACACAAGGCCACAGTGCCCAGAGGATAAACACATGTTAGAGCAATTGAGGGAAACGAGCAAGGAAACGAGCAATCGGCGCAGACCCGACTACGGAGTACATCCACCGGTTGGAGAGGGGCGGCGGCTGTGGCGGCGGGAGGTGTTTGTGATACACAAGGCGTTCAAAAAAGAAAAACGAAAAGTCGGACTCTGGTCCAAGCATTGTTCTTTCGTTTAGGAGACACATCGGAGTCAGGCCGACCGTCCGTCATATGCCTATCATTCAAAGCAACTAGATAACGTCAGACCAAACCAACTAATACACAAGTCATCACTATGTGCCGGTCCAAAAGGTGGTGGTGAAATAGTGCTGCTACATTCATTCCCGCCCTCCTTCCATGCTCGGCTCGAAAGCAGAAATGCTGACGCGCCTCATGCATCGTAAGTTTTCGTCTCTAGACTGCATGGACTGCCAATGCCCGTGTTTCCAAGCCCAGCGGATTGGAACGCCGGTAAGGTGACGACGTGTTACGAAGCAGGGCGGTATCAAACATGACCAGCTCAATCCAAGTGGCTTGTATCAGGCCAACATGCCACCTCGAGCAACCGGCCCGTTAGCCCACCCGCCCCGTCCACTGGACAGAAAATGCCTCTCTATGCGGCGCGAAGCAGAGTTCGGAAGCTCGAGTCAAAGTAGACAGTAAGAACTCTGGGGTGGACCTCCGCGGCACATTGTCTGATTCTGGGCACAGAGTTCAAACGATGACAGATGGGCTTTATAAGAGGGTTTGTTTCAGAAACGGCAGCAAATCAACGAACAGTGCCCCCTCTCGGACCTTTCACACGATGCGCCGATACGTACCTAGCTTTCAGAAATGCCTCCGTCAAAACGGGTCCCGGACAGGCTATCGATCGCCTTTATCAAGGCAAATATTAGAGATTGCCGCCGGCTAGCGAGTTGAGACGATCACGCCACGGTCGACCTGAGGCTCCTGAGCCCCAGGTCATCACACTCTAGATGTTCGAACCCTCTCTGGGTCTTCCGGACTTCAGATGGAGAGGGGGGTATTCCAGCGTCAGAGGGAGGTATCTGTCAAAGTGGGCGAAGTGGCCGCGTGCCCGGGCGCAAGGTGGGGCAATTGGCCGTAAATGCACTAGTCATTTCCCGGATGGATTTTGTCAAATTGTAGGGATTGTAATAGTTGATTGATTGATGTGATCTGTTGTATGTATTGTAAAATCCTAAAGGAATAGGGAAATCCCCCCTATTCCTTGGTTAGGAAATCCCAGGCTAATCCTAGCTATATAATTAGTGGATTTACCCCTAGAAGTGGGGCTAATTTACTGCCTATTCCCTGACAATTTGCTGTAAGGTAACTGTGTATTTACTAGTTAATTTATATATAATTCTGCTATATTTAATATACCCCCTTAGCGCTAGTACTATAATTAATTACTATAGAGCCTATGCTAAATATCTTTTATATATAGCCTATTTATTTATTAATTATCTTTTAATATCTTATACGTTTTTTTTCTTTATCTAGTAGTAAAGCTTTACTTTATTATTAGCTAATTCTTATTATTAATTTACTTTAAGGTAATATCTTATACGTTTTTTTTCTTTATCTAGTAGTAAAGCTTTACTTTATTATTAGCTAATTCTTATTATTAATTTACTTTAATTAACTTAGTAGACTTCTTATATTTAATAGTAATCTAATTTACTACTACTTCTTAGTAAGTGCCTTTATTAACTTATTAGCTATTAACTTAGTAGACTTCTTATATTTAATAGTAATCTAATTTACTACTACTTCTTAGTATAGCTAGTAGGTATAAATATCTATATACTATAGCCTTATTTATAGTTAAATAAGCTTCTTAGTAATAAGCCTAATAGTCTAGGTATTATTATAGCTAATATAAATAGTTAGTAGTTATTTAGTAGCTACTTACTTATTAAGTAATAATTTATTTCCTAGTTAAGTTAATAGTTAAATACCTAGTGTAGTAATTAATTTACTAGTAAAAAGTGCTTTTTTATAGTAAATAATAGTACTAATAATTTAGCCTTAGTAGTTAATATTATTATAGTATCTTACTTGTTAGCTTATTAAGAGATAAGCCCTCTAAATAGCTTTAGTATATATACTTATAAGCTATAATAGTCTAGTAAGTTATTAGTAAATAAGGTGTTAGAAGTAACCTTTAATATATTATTATTACTACTTAGTACTACTTTATATTTAAGGTAAAAATACTATATTTAATAAAGATATCTAAGTATATAATTTATAGCCTTTTAGTAATCTAGATTTAGATTATAGTTAAAGTAGGTAAGCTAGCTAGCTATAAAAGTAATATCTAGCTAAGTTATTACTACTATATAAAGAATTATCCTTACTTTTTTTAATATTAGTTAACCTTTTATAATAAGGCTATATATTTACTAGGTAGTAGCTTAGCCTTTACTATAAGTAATAATTTATTATATTTCTTATTTATTAGTAATAGTTTAGTTACTTTATTATAATATACTACTTATAAGAGCTAAAGATAATAGTTACTTTAGTTATAAATTACCTTAAGGCTAAGGAACTACTATAATAGGCCTTTACCTTTAAGGTAGTATTATTACTAAAAGGCTACTATCTTATTACTTACTTACGCTTTATTTATATAGTAATAAGCTAATATATAGTTATTAATATAAAAAAAGAATATAATATAATCCTTTTTCTAATAGTAATTCTTACTAAGCACTTAGTAAAAGCCTTACGTAGTAAGCTCTTCTTTAAGGTGCTTTTACTATAGTAGTAGTAAACACTAAAGCCTATATAGCGCTTTTAGTAGCTAGAAGATCTAGCTAGTAATTTAGTAGCCTAAAGGTATCTCTATAAATACTACCTTATTAATAGTAAGGTAAATAAATATATTTACTATATTATATTAAAGTAATTCTAAATTAAAGTAAGTAGCTATTACTATTAATATTTTAAATAATATACTTACTAATATAGCTATATAGGTATCTTATAAATTCTTTACTTATTAGTTATTATAAATAATAAGTCTTACTTAAAATTTAGTTAATTAACTATATTTATTAAGCTTATAGGTATATACCTAATAGTAGCTAAAGATTTAATACCTTTTAGCTACTACTTATAGTACTATTACCTAAGATTTAGATATTTTATACCTATATAGATATACTTTTTTAATATCTTTAAATTACTTTTTATATAAGTAGCTTTTTAACTATCTATAGATTAGTAAAAAGTATAGTAGTATTTAATATATACCTATTAGCCTATAAGGTCTAGTAATACCTTTATTATAAGCTAGTAATTTATTAGTAATATCTTTATAATTATTATACTTATTAGGTATTATATAGTTAATTAAATAGCATTAGGTGCGCTTTAGCTAAAAGTAGTAATCTTTACTTATTAGTTAACTTTATAATATACTAGACTATATTATTATCTATAAGCTACCTTATATATAGTCTATAATCTTTTACTATAAAGTAAGCCTTATAAGGAAAGCAGCCCTAAATAAAGTCCTTAGTGTAATCTAACTACTTATATATATAGTAGGATAATAGCCTTTTATAACGCCTTTAAATAAGGTTACTACTAGCTAGAAATTACTTAATAGGCTAGCTATAGTTACTTAGGAATTTAATACTTTTTTATACTTAGTAACGTCTTATAAATTAATTATATAGGGATAAAATAAGGCATAGGGAATTACTATCCTTATTACTTTAGAACTATTAGTTCCTAGTAAGTTACTAGCTTATAGGCTATTAGCTATTAATAAATTAATTAATAGGCTATTAGCTATTAATTTAGGTATTTACTTATTAATTATTTTACTATTAGTAATTAATTAGCTATTAGCTATTAGATTAATTAATTTAAAGCTATTAGTTCCTATTTTACTACCCCTTATATTAAAATCTATAAAGGCTATAAAAAAGGCACTTAGTAGTAATAGTAATAAAGTAAGGAGAAGTATAAATTTTACCTGCTTATATAAATATTCTAGTATATTACCTAATTATAAAGCGCTTAGTAAAGTAATATTAGTATACTTAATTACTTTATTTATTTATTTATTAGCTTCTTTATGTATAGGGGATTAATTACTAGCTATAATTAGCTAGTTAATTTATTATTAAATTACTATAAGATTAGCTTTATAAAGCTTATTAAGTAATCTATTTATTAACCTATTAAAGAGTTATTTTTTATTAAATATTACCTTACGTATAGTAAAAACCTTATTTTATACTAAATACTAAATATAATATAAATTACTAGATATATATCTAATAAGAAATCTAATCTATATATAAGTAGTAAGCTTTTACTAATAGTTTTATAATAGTTATATATCTACTATTAGTATATATACTTAGTAGCTATAGGCTTATAAATATAAAAGATCTAGCTTTACTATAAGTAAGGACTTAGTATACTTATTAAGTATAAAATATAAGTAAAATAATTAGTATAAGGATTTCTACCTTTAAGCTACTAATAGTATTTAATAATAAAGATAAGTAGCTATAGTTATAATCTTAGGCTATAGGACTTTAGGTAATTTTATACTAATATATATATATTACACCTTAAGTTTAATAATTATAGTAATCTACTTAGCGCTACTATTTTAAGCCTAGGTATTTATTACTAATAGCTTAATAAAGATCTTATAATTAAAAAGTGTATCTATTAGTTACTTAAGGCATAGGATTTCTTAGTTAGCCTTAATAACTTTTAGTATAATTAAATATTTAGTTTTTAGTATTATAAGAAAACCTTTTATTATTAATTTAATAGTATCTTAGTAGTAGCTATATAAGTAGAAATCTTATATAAGGCCTATTACTTAATCTAAGATTATTATTACTAAGTAGTATCTTATATAGCCTTGTTTAAGATTATAAAAGTCTAGCGCTAGGTAATTACCTAGTGCTATATTTATA